GGGATGGTAGGTGTATATGAAAAATCAGTACAGAATGGGTCACATAACCAGAGACTCAAAAAAACGTTAACTCGTCAATCCTAACCAGCCTGATAAGAAGCAGTGACAAAAATATGTATTATGAGAACAGAATTTATCAAACTTACGTCGGTGATATAAAAGACCTGGAAAACCCCATAGAAATTCTAGGAACAAAAACGGTATCATGGAAATAGCCAAAATAAAATTAGCAAAATCAGATTGAACCCCACTCCCTCCACAGGAAACAGCAAACAGACTCAATGATTTCTTCTCCTCAATATAGGACAAAACCTTGCATAAAATCCCAAGCTCAGATACCAACCAAATGACTACCTCACTGGCAAAAAACTACCCGAACACACTGTTCCTAGCTCCGACTAACCCATACGAATGTCTCCCTTATTCTCAAACACACAAAAAAAAAAGGCAGGAGATTTAAATCCTTCCCACCCTTTATATACAAAAAAGTGTCAAAGTGCTATCACCAATCATACAACACTCTTTAACCAAATCCATTAATCCTCTACCTTCCCTACAGTTCTCAAAAAGCAAGGGTCACCCCGATCCATAGAAGAGGAGAACCAACAGAGTAGAATAACTATAGGCCAATATCCAACATACAACTCTCTCAAAAATCTTCGAAAAATTAATTCAAAAACGAATCATACTCCTACCTCATCTCCCAAAACAAACTCAACCTCTGCCAAATTGGATTCAGGGCCTAATAAAAATCTACAATATGCTATTATACACGTGCTAGAACATATATACATTGCAATAGCGAAAAAAGAAAGTCCCACTGGTATCTCCATTGACTTCCGGTAAAGCTTTTGTAAGAAGAAAGTACTAGCCCCCACCCCCTCCCACCCCCCCCCCTATTTATAACCCCCCCCCCCCCTCCCCCCCCCCCCCCCCCCCCCCCCCCCCCCCCCCCCCCCCCCCCCCCACCCCCCACCCACCCCCACCCCCCCCCCCCCCCCCCCCCCCACCCCCCCCCCCCCCCTTGTCACACATTGGTATAAGAGGGCACTCCTCAAACTACCTCAAGTCATACCTCAGCAACAGAGAAGCCAATATGTGTACACAAATTGGGGCAAACTCTTCCGCCAACCAATTACAGTGGTGGTCACCAGGGAAGTGTCCTTGGCCCTCCTTCTCCTTTCTCCTTACAATAACATGACCTACCAAAATGCCTTCACAATTACTCAAACCCTCATTTTGCCGATTACACTATATACGTCTTCTCTCACCCGGGCCCAGTCATACTAGCCAATACTGTAAATACCGAATTACAGAAAATATCTAACTGGATGAGGACTAACAAACTTACACTAAACATTGACAAAACCTACTTCATTTAGTTTGGTAACAGAGCTACAGATGTCCCTCTTAACATAATGATTAACGGATCACCTATCACAAAGCTAACAGAGGGAAAATTCTTAGGAATCCACCTTGATAATAGACTAAAATTTCATACACATATACAACAAATTCCTAAGAAAATTTCCAAGACTGTAGGCATACTATCAAAGATACGGTACTACGTTCCACAGTCAGCCCTCCTGGCCCTATATCACTCTCTTATTTACCCCTATCTCACTTATGGAATTTGTGCATGGGGCTCAACAACAATTAACCATCTCAGACCACTAATTACCCAACAAAAGGCTGCAGTCAGAATGATAACAAATTCCCACTACATGCAGCACACTCCACCAATATTCAAAGCACTAAACCTACTCACCATACAAAACATCCTCCTCCACCACGATGCTGTGAACACTAACTCCAAGGCCGAGGGACTGATTACCTCATCTTTTGTATATAGTTCTACTGTCTTCCTATTATGTCCTAGAATCTGTATTGATAAAGCCACTGGATGGCGAAACGTCTACAATAAAGATATCCAGATGTTGCACATGTGTCTTAACTTTCAAAACATCCATACTTATTACTGCACCTATTACATACATAGAACACTTAACTCTGATATTAACCCTCCCCTCAAACATCTCCTTGCCAACCTCAACAGAACACATGACCATAACACAAGGCACAGATCACTCTTTGATGTTCCTCGTGTCCATCTCACGCTATGCAAAAACTCATTGCACATAAAAGGCCCTAAAATCTGGAATTCATTACCTGTAAATATAAAAGAAACACTACCTGTTTATAAATTCAAGTCTCTTCTCAAAGATCACTTACTCACCCAAAACCAAATAAATACTGAATAACTGAACCTTATAAATTTATATCTTAAATGTTTCTCACAATTATATCACATAAATGTTAAACCTAAGACCCAATCTAACTTCGTTATTTTTTAAATACACTACCTAACAGAATACGCCATTCTACTGAATGTACAGCAATGCATGCAACCATATGACCTGTCTTTGTAATACTCATTTGTGCTTTATTGTTATCTGTTTACAATAATGTTTTATCACTGATTACATCATTGCTTAGTTAATCTTAAGTTAATTTTAAGCCTGCCCATAATGCTATGCATACAAGTGGCTTTGGCATGCTGCTCTTACCTGTATTTTTTTGTACCTCTGTATGTATGTTCAAATTATTAAATAAATAAATAAACATGTTGCAGACATGGCTTGCAACAGTTTTGTTTGCGTGATAATTCTCTGCAAAACTTTGCAACTTTGCACATATGTCCTTAATCACTGAAGAAGGCACATTCTCCCCTCTCTCTTCCTCCTCCTCCTCCTCCTCCTCCTCCTCTGAAGCAATTTCCTCAGCTGTGATCTGTTGCTGTTCCAGTTGAAGGTCTTGCAGCTCTTCAGTGGTTAGCTCTTCCCTGTGGTCCTCCACCAACTCTTCCACAACCTGGCCACTCACATCCAACCCCATGGACTTCCCCAAAGACACCTGTTTCTCATCTTCTCTACCCAAGGGTTGAACTTTCTTTGGCCCCATGGTGGCTTATTTGGCAGTCACACTTGCTTGTCTAAAGCACCAAAAACAATGGATGAACGCACAGAGTATTGTTCACTCGACAAGTGACAGAAGAAGATTGAGCCAGGCGGCGGCAGAATGGGCGGGTGGACGCATCTGATACGGACAATTTCTGAGTCAGTGTATGAAACCCAGTAAAAATTTGCCGAAAAAGTGGTCAAAATCTGAATTGTACGATATTCGGACCGGACGAAAATTGGAATTGTACTGTATTATGGTAGCTAACAACTTTAGCAACAGATAGTGAAGGGCATCGTATTCCCCCCCTCCCAATACTGAGTGTTAGATACACAGTGGATTCAGATTCAGATTCTAGGGATTGGCAGAATGTTTAGTTCCTTTATATAAAGGGAAGGGGGACAAAAGAGATTATAAAAATTACCAGGAAAAGTGTACAGTAGGGTTATTATTGAAAGAATAAGAGGTAAGACAGAGAGTAGAATTGCAGATGAGCAAGGAGACTTTAGAGTGGGTAGGGGATGTGTAGATCAAGTGTTTACATTGAAGCATATATGTGAACAGTATTTAAAAGAAGGTAGGGAAGTTTTCATTTCATTTATGGATTTAGAAAAGGCATATGATAGAGTGGATAGGGAAGCAATGTGGCAGATGTTGCAAGTACATGTATATGGAATAGGTGGTAAGTTACTAAATGCTGTAAAGAGTTTTTATGAGGATAGTGAGGCTCAGGTTAGGGTGTGTAGAAGAGAGGGAGACTACTTCCCGGTAAAAGTAGGTCTTAGACAGGGATGTGTAATGTCACCATGGTTGTTTAATATATTTATAGATGGGGTTGTTTAATATATTTATAAATGGGGAGAGAGGTGGGATTAAATTATGGAGAATCAAGCACAAAATGGGAGTTGACACATACTTTTTGCTGATGATACTGTGCTTATGGGAAATTATAAAGAATAGTTGCAAAAGTTAGTGGACGAGTTTGGGAGGGTGTGTAAAGGTAGAAAGTTGAAAGTGAATATAGATAAGAGTAAGGTGATGAGGGTATAAAGAAAAACTGGATATCACATCGGAAAGAGGGAGTATGGAAGAAGTGAATGTTTTCAGATATTTGGAAGTTGATGTGTCAGCAGATGGGTTTATGAAGGATGAGATTATCCATAAAATTTATGCAGAAAAAAAGGTGAGTGGTGCATTGAGGTATATGTGGAGACAAAAAAATGTTATATATTGAGGCTAAGAATGGAATATATGAAAGTGTAGTGGTACCAACACTCTTATATGGGTGTGAAGCTTGGGTTGTAAATGCTGCAGCGAGGAGGCGGTTGGAGGCAGTGGAGATGTCCTGTCTAAGGGCAATGTGTGGTGTAAATATTATGCAGAAAATTCGGAATGTGGAAATTAGGTGACATGGAGTTAATAAAAGTATTAGAGGGCTGAAGAAGGGTTATTGAGGTGGTTTGGTCATTTAGAGAGAATGGATTAAAGTAGAATGACATGGAGAGCTTATAAATCTGTAGGGTAAGGAAGGCAGGGTAGGGGTTGTCCTCAAAAAGATTGGAGGGAGGAGGTAAAGGAGGTTTTGTGGGGGAGGGGCTTGGACTTCTAGCAAGCATACCTGAGTGTGTTAGATAGGAATGAATGGAGACAAATGGTTTTTGGGACCTGACGAGCTGTTGGAGTGTGAGCAGGGTAATATTTAGTGAAGGGATTCAAGGAAACCTGTTATTTTTATATAGCTGGACTTGAATACTGGTAATGGGAAGTATAATGCCTGCACTTTAAAAGAGGGGTTTGGGATATTGGCAGTTTGGAGGGATATGTTATATGTCTTTATATATGCTTGTAAACTGTTGTATCTGGTTGCCTCTGCAAAAACAGTGATTATGTATGAATGAGATGAAAGTGTTGAATGATGATGAAAGTATTTTCTTTGAGGCTTTTCTTTCCTTTTGGGTCACCCTGCCTCAGTTGGAGATGGCCGACTTGTTGAAAAAAAAATAATACAAAAAAATTATTTTTATTTATTGCTTACATTCCAGAAAATGTTGGCACTATTGAAGAATCCATCTTGAGTCATCATATAATGGAGAAAGAGATGACTAGACCAGGCTATGGTCCTAGTGTAGTACGTCATCTGAGCCAGAACTCTTCTATACTTGGCCACCTGGAGAACTCTGCACTACTCAACACATCCATCACACCAACTTGCTTTATAGAGTTTGGTGCTGGCAGAGGTAAGCACACTATACAGATATATTTAGCTAAAGAAGTTGTATTGTTTGTAATTTTTCTAAGTCAAATTCAATATAAAGATTTACAGTATTTCACAATTAGAGTTACACAGGTATAATATCTCTGTTATTCAGATAACATTCATTCCTCTTTTGTGCTCACCAATGTTTTACTACAGTAGACCATTATATTATATGGTATGTAGTTACGTTCCTGAAAATGTTGTGTTAGGTAAATCCATGTTAGATAAACTGAAAAACTTACAGGAAAAATAGGGTTGCATTCCTGGGATCCTCATGAAAGCCAAACAACTTTCTTTAGACCTCCAGATCTTACAAAAATGAAAGTGAATATGTAATTGTTGTTCATAGTCATGATGTATTATGTTGTTTTTACTGCTAAGACAACAAATGCAACAATTGCCTTCAGTTGTGGGTGCCGGTGTTTGTTGATTGTGAAGAGAGTGGAGAGTTATGCTGTGTCCCTGCTGGGCTGGGTGGATGGTAGAGGTTCTGGTATTAAAGTCAATAGTTGTACTGGAGTGTGCATAAATTCTGAAGTGGATTTCTGGGCTATTTTACCCTGCACTACATTATACAGCTGACGGTAAAGCATCAGCTGCTCTAGATGCCGTTTCAGAGCACTGCTTCTAGATTTGTCAGGGGTCCTCTTCAGTGAAAAAGTCTAATTTTAAGTCAGTACATCAGTAAAAGTCAGTCATGTCAGTAAATCAGTAAGTCAGTCATTCAATAAGTCAGTAAGTAAGTCAGTGAGATGACATCCTGGGTATTCATTACATAAACTTGTATATTTACCTCATTCTTTTTAAATGTACAAACTGATGCTTCATTAAGGCCATAGGCTCTCTCTTGTTTAATATCTCTGTTTTCTTTGTAACTCCAAGACTTAAATATTTAAACCTTTTCTTGCCACTTTCAGCAACACTTGTATGCCTACTGGGTGCCATGATTGCTTGGCAGATACAAGATAGGTCAATTAAAAGATTAAAACAATTCACAAACACAACTAGCTCCTAGGAGAGAATCATAATTGACATGTATGCACGAAGGCTGAGATGGGGGTAGAGGGGATGGCGGTCATCTCCCCCGCTGACACAGTGGTTTGACCCACAACCAGGCGGCAGCCTGAGCCGGGTAAATTTTTTTCCCTCCCCACAAACAGAACTGTGTTAACCCTTTGACTGTTTCGACCATACATATACGTCTTACGAGGTACCGTGTTTGACGTATATACAGTGGCCCCTCAATAATCGTCCGGCCTGAAAGTCATCCATTTCGGAAATAGTCCTGTTTTTTCGTCAAAATATTGGCTCGCAAATGGTCCGGTAACTCGCTAATAGTCCTTCGTCCCAGGCGCGTACTCACGCTCTGAGCCGCCTCGGCCTTTCCTTCCCAGCCAGTGTGCCATTGTTTACCAGTGAGCGACAGTCCCCTCACGTGCTCCAGCGAAATGTTTCATAACATTCCATTTATTTTAGTGCTTGCAAGTTATTAAAGTGCTAAATGGGCTACCATGGCTCCAAAGAAAGCTCCTAGTGCCAAGCCTTTGGTAAAGAAGGTGAGAAATACGATTGAATTTAAGAAAAACATCATTGAACAATATGATAGTGGCATATGTGTGGGCGAACTGGCCAGGATGTATAACAAATCCCGTACAACCATATCTTCCATCATGGCCAAGAAAAAGGAAATCAAGGATGCTGTTGTTGCAAAATTGGTAAATATGCTAACAAAAATGAGATCGCCAGTACTCGAAGATGTTGAGAAGTTATTATTGGTGTGGATAAATGAGAAACAATTAGCGGGGAGATAGTCTTATGACGTCGCTTTTTTGTGAAAAGGCTAGGCAGTTGCATGACGATTTGGTAAAGAAATTGCCTGCAACTAGTGCTGATGTGAGTGAATTTAAGGGCCAGCAAAGGTGGTTTGAGAGATTTAAGAACCGTACTGGCATACACAGTGTGGAAAGGGCATGGTGAGGCTGCCAGTTCGGACCACAAGGCGGCTGAAAAATATGTGCATGAATTCAAGGAGTACATAAACAGTGAAGGACTGAAACCTGAACAAGTGTTCAGTTGTGATGAAACAGGCCTCTTCTGGAAGAAAATGCCAAAGGGACCTACATTACTCAGGGAAAAAAAGGCGCTGCCAGGACACAAGCCTATGAAAGACAGGCTGACGCTAATGTTCTGTGCTAATGCTTGTGGGGATTTCAAAGTGAAGCCGTTACTAGTGTACCATTCTGAAAATCCAGAGTGTTCAAGGAAAAACAATGTTATGAAGAGTAAATTGTGTGTGTTTTGGAGATCTAATAGTAAGGCATGGGTCACAAGGGAATTTTCGTTGAGTGGTTCAATGAAGTGTTTGGCCCTAGTGTGAAGAATTACCTCTTGGAAAAGAAAAATCGGATCTCAGGTGCCTCCTAGTAATGGGGCAATGCACCTGCTCATCTCCAAACTTGGATGACCTAATTCTGAAGGAGTTGGGTTCATCACAGTAAAGTTCTTGCCCCGAAAAACCACTCCTCTCTCCAGCCCATGGGCCAGCAAAGGGCATTGCAAACTTTAAAAACTCTACACCAAAGCAATGTTTGAAAGGTGCTTGAATGTGACCTCAGACACTCACTTGACCTTTCGAGATTTTTGGAAAGAACACTTCAGTATTCTCATTGCGTAAGCCCTTATAGGTAAAGCTTGGGAGGGAGTGGGCTACCCGGACTTTGAACTCTGCTTGGAGAAAATTGTGGCCAGATTGTGTCCACAAGAGGGATTTGAAGGTTTGGGGCTGACCCTGATGGCCATGTCAGTTGTTAAATCCATTGTGGCACTGGGGAGTTCCATGGGGTTGGATGTGAGTTTGGAGGATGTGGAAGAGTTGGTGGAGGACCACAATTTAAGAGCTAACACTGGGGGAGCGCAAGAGCTTCATCAGGAACAGCAACAGATCGCAGCTCAGAATCTTGCTGCAGAGGAGGAGGAAAAGAGATGGAGGAAGGTGCCTTCTTCAGAAATTAAGGAGATTTTTTAAATGTGGGGTAGGATGGAAGATTTATGGAGAAACATCACCCAGAGAAGGATGTTGCAAGCCTTCGGCAACTTGTACAGTGACAGAGTCTTGGCCCATTTTAGAGAAGTTTTAAAGAGACGACAGAAACAGTGCTCTGTGGACAGTTTTTTTGCGAGACAGGAAGGACTCCAGTGACTCTCAAGGTGGTGCTAGTGGCATTAAGAAATAGAGAAGAGAAGTAACCCAGAAAAGCAATTGGTACCGAGGTGTTGATGGAAGGGGATTCCCTTCCAAACAGTAAATCATCCAATCTGTCTCCTTCTCCAGTCTTCCATACACAAAGAAGAATCGCCAGTAAAGGTAAGTGTTATTCTGTTAATGTTTAATTCATCATATGCCACTGTATTGTTTATGTACTACATCTATATTTCATGTAAAAAAATTTTTGTTTTAATACTTCTGGGTGTCAGGAACGGATTAATTGAATTTACATTATTTCTTATGGGGAAAATTGATTCGTAAATCGTCCATTTCAATAATAGTCCCACTTCCAGGAACGGATTGTGGACGATTATTGAGGGACCACTGTATACTCATAAATTCTAGCGGCTTCAAATCGAGCAGGAGAGAGCTGGTAGGCCCACATGTGAAAGAATGGGTCTTTGTGGTCAGTGTGCACCATATAAAAAAAATCCTGGAGTAGGCAGTGCATAATGAGAAAAAAAAAAGTCCAACCGTTTTTTTTTTTTAATTAAAATGATGAATTTGTGGTCTATTTTCGTATAGTATTTATTGTTGTATTCTTGTTTTCTTGGTCTCATTTGATAGAATGGAAAACATATTATAGAAATAGAGGTGATTTTGATTGATTTTATTATAAAAAGAACCTGGAAATGGTGCTCAAAGTAAGGGAAATGTTTGATTTTTGCCAATGTTCAAAAGTAAACAAATGATGTCATTGTCCAATAAATGTCCAACTAGCCATTTTAATATGCAGTCATGAATGGGTTGATGTTATTTATACAATTATTACAGTATTGCAGTAGTCTGTGTAACAGTAAATCATCTACTTTTTGTTTGAATAAAAATTCAAAATAGAAAGCAAGAGTAATATCAGAGGGGCCTGGAGACATGACTGATGAACAAAGAAAATGTTATTTTAGAGCCAGGAATGTCTGCATTGTTCATTCTAGACCTTATTTTGAAAATGTCATATTTTTTAATTTTCGTGGAATTGGCCAAATTGCAAATTTCTGATCACGTTATTGGGTAGTTGAAATCAGTAAATGGGCAGTTTCTTGTACTCAATTGATAGAAAAAAATGGAGTTCTAAAGAAACAGCTATAAGTTTGGTCGACTGGAACAATGGAATTAGCCAAAAATAGGGCTCAACGTTTGCGAAATCGCCAATTTGTAAATATTGCCAAGGTCACTAACTTCGCGAGAGCGTAATTCCATCAGTTTTTTATCAAATTTTGTTTTTTTGGTGTCATTACAACAGTCAAGGGGTTAAGCTAATTTTACGAAGTGTTCTCTAAAATTATGCCACAGTTTTTCAATAGTGTAATAACCAAAACGTGGCAAACAAATCGATAAACAGTAGAACCCTGAGTTTCAGCCATAATCCGTTCCAGGAGCTAGGTCTCAACTCGAAATGGCTGAAAAGCGAAGCAATATTTCCCATAAGACATAATGTACAGTAGGGCCCTGCTTTTCGGCGTTTCACCTTACAGCATTCCACTAATACGGCGATCTCAAATTATGACCAAAGCTTTCTATACAGCAAGAGGTCTTTCAAATACAGCGCGGGCCATCCAGTTTGTTTACATTCTCCAAGAGCACATCTCTCTATTATGTAATAATAATCACTCTTGGGCACATTAAATGTCTAATTTTACATCAATACAGTGGACCCCCGATTTGCGATGGCAATGGTATCTGATAAATCCGGTATTCAATACATTTTAACGCAAAACTTTTACTTCGGTTCCCGAGACTGTCCAGTGTGGCCCAGGTTTACTAGCCACCCATGTGCCCCCTTTAAGGTACATTCGGTACTTTCCCATATTACACAGTGGTTTTGGTGTTTTTTTCGTGAGGTCAAAGACAAAAAAAATTTTTTTATGAGACCCAAAAAATTTGATTAACACAACCCAATCCGATGTTACCCTGACGCCAAATATTCGA